TCATTTCGTGTCCCGTATCCGTTGTTGCCATGACAGCTGTAACCATTCTGAGCGCTACCAACGTGGCCATTTAGGTCGCCACAGAGCAGGATTGCTTCGCTCTCGGGGACTGCTGCAATGTGATCCTGTAGTTCAGTCCAGAACTGTTCCTTTTCCACATCGTCGCAACCGCTTTGGGGGGCGTAGGCTGAGAACACAAAAAGTCGGCGGGTGGCCACGTCGATCACAGCGGAGATGAGTCTATCTGAATGGCGTCGTATTTCTGCGACATGACTGCTACATTTGGAGCGAAAAGACCCAGCATGGATCCAGTGAATATTGACTGTTTTAGGTAACACCTGATGGTAAGTATATCCGCCCTCTGCATGCCAAAATCGGCTACTCAGCGATGGTCCACGTCCGAGCCCATATGATATCGACACAAGCCGCCTTTCTCGCTCAAGCACTTACTACTGCTATTCGATACTCAGCAATACGCCGACAAGGGGAGATTCAACCTGGGTACGGTAATTGCAGATGACAGCTATTACGCAACGCGAACCGCGACGCACATTTGTTTTCAGCTACTCATTGTGACTAAAGTACTCTGATTCTTTTCGTGTTCAGAAAAGGCGAAGTAAAGATCATGGAGTACCAAACCCAGCAACATCGTCTATTTCCACAACTTGCACGGGCCTATGCGTTTATTTTCGTGGGACAGGCCGTGAGGGTCATTTTTCAACGAGTACAGAAAGACGTCGCTCAAGGAAAGGTGAGCAGCACGTTCCCCATCTTCTAGGTTGTTTCAGCAATTTCTTAAATCACTGGGGAGATGGAGTAGTCAGGTGTGGTCCTCAGTGTGATCCTCTAATTATGCCCAGTTAATTAGAAGCGCAATTAGTCGGGGCGGTATCAGGAGAGGCTGAGTGGGCCCACCTCCAGCTACGCTTTCCACCAATAGTGATCGATTAGTGATCGACTCAGGAAGAAAACGAACAGTGGAGGAAAACGAGACGGATGGGCTCATTATACGCCTGACCACGCCCTGAGTGATTACCACAATGTCCCTGAGATGGTAGGCGTGGCCGCATGTTTCAACTTAACCTGAAGGTGTCTATGCTTCTGGTGGAATATTTCCATCTTGACACAACTGTTGTCGTGTCTCTGTCCAACACAGAACAAGATGACAGTTGTCCCAGACTGGAATATTCCACGAGTAACCAGTTCCGTGCCATGTTCAATGCCACGCCTACTCTGGCTCAGGGATAAGGAGTGTACCTCCTGA